TAATTGGGGCTTGCGCTACAAAGCACCATTACATGGCACAATCATGTGCTTCAATCTTGCACCTGATTCATAAATATGATTTTGTTGTTACTTCCATGGCTGATGCTGTTGCTGGGGCTGAGAAGAGGTTTGCTGATGGAACACTTGCAAGTTCTCTTATCAGAGAGATAGGGAGAACAAGCCCCAAGGCCTACGTGAAGGACACAGTTGGTGCTGAAAATATTGGACGTTTTCTGGTGGAGCTTGCTGACCGTCTGCCAAAATTATTGTCAATCAACATTGGAGTTCTAGTCCCCCACTTTGGTGGAGAATCTTATAAGATAAGGAATGCTCTAGTTGGTGTTTTGGGTAAATTAGTTGCAAAAGCATTTAAGGATGTTGAAGGTGAAATGAGTTCTAAATCTGTCCGTCTTCGGACCAAGCAAGCCATGTTGGAAATTTTACTTGAGCGCTGTCGGGATGTTTCAGCTTATACAAGGAGTAGAGTTCTTCAGGTCTGGGCTGAACTTTGTGAGGAGCATTCTGTGTCAATTGGTTTGTGGAATGAAGTTGCAGCTGTTGCTGCTGGGAGGTTGGAAGATAAGAGTGCCATTGTTAGAAAATCTGCGCTAAATTTACTTATCATGATGTTGCAGCATAATCCATTTGGTCCACAGCTCAGAATAGCTTCATTTGAAGCAACCCTACAGCAGTACAAGAATAAGTTAAATGAGCTTGAACCAAATAAGCCTTCAGAGAGTCCAATAGATGGTTTGCCATATGATGATGATGGTGAGGTTGACAATAATGCAAATGCTGAACAGATAATTGAAGAGCAGCCTGACAGTCTAACCGACAGTTTATCCTACATGGATCAAGGAATTGCTGAGAAGGATGGTTCAGTGCCAGATGTTGGGAACTTGGAGCAAACCAGGGCCTTGGTTGCATCACTGGAGGCTGGCTTGATGTTCTCTAAATGCATATCTGCTACAATGCCAACTCTTGTTCAATTAATGGCTTCTTCTTCTGCCACTGATGTCGAGAACACAATACTCTTGTTGATGCGGTGCAGACAGTTCCAAGTTGATGGTGCAGATGCTTGCCTCCGTAAAATGCTGCCACTGGTAAGCCTTCTTCTTTTTATTTTTATATTTTATTTTTTTAAACTTTCTTAATTGGGTAACAGGGGACTAGGGTTCTCCTTTGTATGCCTTCCAACTATGTTTTCTTGGCCCATGGAAAGCTTATATTAACAAATATGGCTTAAAAATGAAACAGCAAACTCTTTTTGGATTCAAGACTCTTGTTTTCCAGCTTTCTGGCAGCCTCTTCTGAACAGGATACTTGACTAAGCATAACTCATGTCTGTTGTGTTCTGCCTTTTGCAGGTATTTTCTCAGGACAAGTCCATATATGAAGCTGTGGAGAATGCCTTCATAACAATTTATATTAGGAAAAATGCAACAGAAACAGCTAAGAACCTTTTGAATCTCGTTGTAGATTCAAACATTGGAGATCAAGCTGCCTTGGAATTCATTATTAGTGCCTTGGTGTCAAAAGGTGACATATCTGGTAGCACAGTAAGTTCCCTTTCACAACTTTGCAAAAGTTATGTGGTTGAAACTCAAAACTGAAATTATTCCTTGATTGGACATTCTGACTTAAGAAGGCCAAAATTCTCTTTCTACTGTAGTAGACATGGTAGGTGAGTTTGTTTGTATGAACAAAACGGGTAATCACCTCTTATTGTTTTTCAAAGTTTGATGAGTCATGGCAATTATTACAGAGCTTCTGTTTTGAACTATTATTCATGATGATTCATTTAGCGGTTATTTGCTAATATACTCTCGGAGTTGTTTCTGTTGATGCATTGCATTATTGAACATTGAAGCTTCTTTTTCCCTAGTTAGAAGCTTGCTTTAATAGAATCTTTGTTTCTTTACTCCTTCAAGGACTAAATTCCTCACCACAATTCATTTTGCAGATATCAGCATTATGGGATTTCTTTTGTTTTAATATTAATGGAACAACTGCCGAGCAAAGTTGTGGTGCTTTATCTGTTCTTTGCATGGCGGCAAAATCATCCCCTGGGATTCTTGGTTCTCACCTACAGGACATTATTGATATTGGGTTTGGTCGATGGGCCAAAGTGGAACCTTTGCTTGCTAGGACTGCATGCATTGCTATTCAGAGATTGTCTGAAGAGGACAAGAAAAAATTGTTGCTTACTAATGGCAGTCGGATATTTGGTATTCTGGAAAGCTTAGTTACTGGTTTTGGTCTTCCAGATAATATATGGTATGCAGCTGCTGATAAAGCAATAGGTGCCATATATATGATTCATCCAAGTCCAGAAATCATAGCTGCTGAAATTGTGAAAAAGTCCCTTTCTTCTGTTTTTAATGGTACTGAAGGACATGCATCTGAGAATGACATAAACAGCAGCAAAGACAGCATATGTTCTGCTGTTCAAGTGGCAAAACTTGGTAGATATTTATTTGTTGTGAGTCAAGTTGCCATGAACCAACTGGTATATATTGAATCCTGCGTTAGGAAGATTCAAAAACAGAAGGTTGCTAAAGACAAAATGGATGCTGATGGTACAGCAAATGCTGATAAGCAAAAGGTATGACCATCATGTTTATAATTTCATTTATTCTAACTGGTATGACACTTTTTTAACTATTATTTATTCCTTGGTTATGGATTTTTAGTTTGATTTTGAAAAAGATTTCTCTTTTCCTTTCTGTTTGACTGTATTTGCAGGACAATAGCATCAATGCTGAGCTAGGCCTTGCTGCCTCTGAAGATGCGATACTTGACATGCTTGCTGAAAAAGCAGAAAAAGAAATTGTTTCTGGCGGTTCCAGTGAGAAGAATTTGCTTGGAGAATGTGCACCTTTCCTCTCTAAGCTTTGCAAAAATTTTTCCTTGATGAAGAAGGTTTATGCCTTGGCCTTTTCTGTCCCTTTTGCTTCATTTTTCCCACTCGCCACCCCACCACACCCACTCTCACCCTAAGAAAAGGAGATGGATTGTCTATTATCTGTGTGCCAATGAAGAGTGTCTTGATGGTTAATGATATTATGATAACCTGATAATGGCAGCCTTTCACAGTTTTTCTCCATACATTCCAATTTCTGATGACTGAAGGCATCCTTCATCATGGCCTAAAACCTTACAAAGTGATTTAACTTGTATAGTTAAGAGTAGAAATTAAGATTGTACAATCATTTATTATTGAAAAATAATTCTTCTCTGTTGAGGTTTCTACCTAGGCCCTATCACTGGCTTAGTTTTCAAATTTTCATATGAGATTCTTTAACAGTTAAGGTTTACTTGTCTTCTTCTTCTTCTTCTTCTTCTTCTTCTTATTCTTGGGTTTTTTTTTTTTTTGTGTTTTTTGCTTCCAGTATCCAGAACTACAGGCTTCTGCAATGCTTGCAGTGTGTCGATTTATGATCATTGATGCAAACTATTGGTAATTCTCTATTTATCTTTATCTCTCTATTCTGTCTATTTGTCTGCTGGTTTCATTCCTTAACTTTTGAGTAAATGAATCTCCAGTGATGCAAATCTTCAGCTTCTCTTCACCGTTGTAGAGAATGCACAATCAGAAATTGTTCGTTCTAATTGCATTATTGCTCTTGGAGATTTGGCAGCTCGCTTTCCTAACCTGTTAGAACCATGGACTGAGAACATGTATGCTCGATTGAGGGATCCTTCAGTTTCAGTTCGGAAGAATGCTGTTCTGGTGCTTTCACATCTCATATTAAATGACATGATGAAGGTCTGCTAGTTTGCTCTCTTTTGCAATCCTTTTCAGGCTATAATGCTTCAGAGTTCTGATTTTTCTTGTTGCTGATAGGTAAAAGGCTACATAAATGAAATGGCCATCCGAGTAGTAGATGAAGACGAAAGAATTTCAAGCCTAGCAAAACTCCTGTTTCATGAGTTGTCTAAGAAAGGTGAACTGTGGTGCTTATCTGGTCAATTTGTAGAAATAATGTTTTAGCATATTTTTTTCTCAACTCAGGCAGACATTGAATAATTCTCAAGTGTTTCTGTAGGAAGCAATCCGATATATAATTTGCTTCCAGATATACTTGGAAAATTATCTAACCAAAATCTGGAGAGAGAGTCTTTCTGCAATATCATGCAATTCTTAATTGGTTCAATCAAGAAGGTACTGTTTGCATCTTTCATTTGAAACTAAAATGGCTGTTCTCTGTACCTGTTGCTAATTTAAAATCTTCATTATTGTCTAGGACAAACAAATGGAAGCACTGGTTGAAAAGCTTTGCAACAGGTTCACTGGAGTCACAGGCATGTTTTTTGATTCTTCCATACTTTTCTTTCTTATTGATTTGCTAAACTAATATCTTCTGGTTCTGCGAGCTTTAAGCTATTGAGAAAAAATTATGAGCTCTTCTTTGTGTTAAAACTAATATATTGTTTTAGTGATCTGAGTGTATTTCGTAAGTCTAAGAGACATCACTCTTTATAAATTGTTCAGTCCTTTTTGTCTGCTTGTTGCCTAGTAATCCTCTTAGCAACACCCTTGGGCCAATTCAAAGTTTTAACTTTCAAGTTAAAGATTCATATATTTCAAATGTTGTTGATTTGATTCTGTACATAATATGAGACCAATTTCCACCTTTTTCTCTTTTGCTTGGGTGCCACCAAATGACTGACTTTGCTGTAGTAAGGCTAGTTCAGATTTTTCCTGGTCCGCAAAATCTATCATCTTTTGCTGCCTGGTTCTGTTGTTTGCTATTTTCAGCATCATGTCATATTGTGCATGATCCAGCAATCTCCCTGTAATTTTCACTTCAAATTCCAATGATATAGATTTTCTGAAAGCTGCAAGTTATCTCTGCCTTTCTTTCTTCTAGATATTTACATCATTGTTGCATCTGTCCTTAAATCAGATGAGCTTAATGATAGCACTGTTCATCTATTATAAATGGTCAATTGTAGCTTTTGGCTTACCACAGGGTTTACTTCTTTGCTGCAGATGTTAGACAATGGGAGTATATTTCTTATTGTCTTTCTCAGTTAACTTTCACTGAAAAGGGAATGAAAAAGCTCATAGAGTTGTTTAAGACTTACGAACACGCCCTAGCTGAGGACACCGTGATGGATCATTTTAGAAACATTATTAATAAGGTACCAAATTATCTCTAGCTAGTAGCTATTGCTAACCTCATTCTAAAGTTGGATGATATTCATTATCTGTTTATGTTTTATCTTTAAACAGGGTAAGAAGTTTGCAAAACCAGAACTTAAAGTATGCATTGAGGAGTTTGAGGAGAAGCTTAATAAGTTCAACTTAGAGAAGAAGGAGCAAGAGCTGACAGCAAGAAATGCTGAAATTCATCGGCAGAAAGTCAGTAACATGGAAGGTTTTGTTGTTGCCAGTAATGAAAGGGAAGGAAGTGCAGACTCTGACACAGGTGAAGTTTGATTTGCATATTCATGCCATAATCTAATTTCTTTCATTGATGTAGAAATGTATGATAAAGAGAGCATACTCCACTGCAGTGTGATTAACAAGTTACAATTATATATTACATTATCTAGTAAAATATCATATTAACCTTTTTAATAAGTATTCTGAGGCATTTTCCATAGGTAACATTAACAAAAGTTACGTAAATATGCTTTTTGAGAGTAATAGAGTACTATGTGCCTGTTGAACTGGACATGCTGTATATGTTTAGAAGTGTCAGTCTTTATTTTAGTGCTTTATGCAAGCATCAAGCTTTAAAATCTTTTTGTTCTTTGATATTCCAATAGTATATGTTACTGAATCATAGTCAGGTGTTCATATGTTTTTAAAATTTTTTATGTTACAGTTATAGCGTTTTCTATAATAACTAAACCATGTGAAAAGAGATAACAAGTAGGTGTAGAGAAACTGAGAAAGAGAGTGCAACAAAGCAGCAATATCACTTGGCTGCAGCCTTGACTTACAAAGTTTCTATGGTATAATTTGGTAGGTCTTGTGCTATATATAGGCCACGTGTTACTGCTATGTATTTTTAGGATCCTCTTTTCCACACTTCTCAAGTAACCTTGGTGGCTCTCCACTTGAGTCTGAGCTCTCTTAGATTTTAAGTTTAGTTTCTTAAGCAGCCACTTCAGCAAAATGCCGAAGGGCATTAATGTTTGAAAATCAGCTTCTTAGGAACACAGTTGGCAAAGATCATAACTGGGATAGACCATTTCAAAATTAACACTCTGAATGGTGTTGTCAGATTTAATCTAGAGCAGTTCATATATTACAGATGGAGAAGTCATAAATGCATCCACGGAGGGGACAAACCAGTCCTTGGATGAGTTATCAAAGTCTAAATTTGTTGCATCAGAGGAGTCTTCTGCTGCTTCAAGTGATGTAACTGAATCGGAAGCAGATGGATTTGAAGTTACTTCACCCAAAGTTGACACAAGAGGTGATTTGAGATTTATAACTCTGCATAACTTCAGTTAGTTGAAAATGTGTAATTAGAATCCTGTCTACCATGTCTAATTATGGTACTGTTATTACAGGGGTCTGCAAAACCAGGGCCAAGAAAAGCCAAATGAGAGAACCAAAGGGCACTGTTTCTGCAGCTGCCAGAAGAAGTATTAGGTCAAAACAAAGGTAGGTTCAAAATGGAAAGCTATGTTGATTGATGCAAGTTGACCTTAATCACTAGTCATTTTTGTATATTGACAGTGCAAATTCCCTCGCCTTTTTTTGTAAAATGATGCCCATTTTTTATTGATATTTTACTTAGGTGGGACATGTGAATTGTAATGTTTCCACTCGTTTAATGCCATGATTGTTATTAATGATAGGAGTCTTGATAGTGGAGGTGAGTTTGTCACTAGTATAAAACAGGTTTCCATTCCTCCATTACAAATTCACTTGTTTAATGTCATTTTTGTATATTGACAGTACAAATTCAGTTGCCTTTTTCGGTAAAATGATGCCCATTTTTTTTATTGACACTTGGATGAGTAGCAGGTT